TCTATAAAGGTAATTCACCACATAAACTGAACCAAAGACAAAAACCACATGATTATCTCAATAGATGCAGAGAAGGCCTTCGACGAAATTCAACAGCCCTTTATGCCAAAACCTCTCAATAAATTAGGTATCGATGGAACATATCTCAAAATAATCAAAGCTATTTACAACAAACCCATAGCCAATATCATACTGAATAGACAAAAACTGGAAGCATCCCCTTTGAAATCTGACATGAGACAAGGATGCCCTCTCTCACCACTCCTATTCAATACAGTATTGCAAGTTCTAGCCAGAGCAATCAGGCAAGAAAAAGAAATAAAGGGTATTCAATTAGGAAAGAAGGAAGACAAATTGTCTCTATTTGCAGATGACATGATTTTTAGAAGACCATATTGTCTCAGCCCAAAATCTCCTTAATCTGATAAGCAACTTCAGTAAAGTCTCAGAATAAAAAAATCAATGTGCAAAAATCACAAACATTCCTATACACTACTAACAGACTTAAAGAGAGCCAAATCAAGAATCAACTGCCATTCACAAATGCTACAAAGATAATACCTAAAAATACAACAAACAAAGGATGTAAAGGACCTCTTCAAGGAGAACTACAAACCACTGCTCAACGAAATAAGAGAGGACACAAACAGATGGAGAATCATTCCATGCTCATGGTTAGGAAGAATGAATATCACAAAAATGGCCATACTGACCAAAGTAATTTGTAGATTCAGTGCTATCTCCATCAAGCTACCAATGACCTTCTTCACAGAACTGGAAAAAAACCACATATGAAACCAAAAGAGAACCCGCATAGCCAAGACAATCCTAAGCAAAAAGAACAAAGGTGGAGGCATCACGCTACAGGACTTCAAACTATACTACAAGGCTACAATAATAAAAACAGCATGGTACTGGTACCAAAACAGAGATATAGACCAATGGAACAGAACAGAGGCCTCGGAGGCAATGCCACACATCTACAACCATCTGATCTTTGACAAATTTGACAAAAACAAGCAATGGGGAAAGGATTCCCTGTTTAATAAATGGTGTTAAGAAAACTGGCTAGCAGTGTGCAGAAAGCAGAAACTGGACCCCTTCCTGACACCTTACACTAAAATTAACTCCAGATGGATTGAAGACTTAAACATAAGACCTAACATCATAAAAACCTTAGAAGAAAACCCAGGCAAAACCATTCAGGACATAGGCAAGGACTTCATGACTAAAACACCAAAAGCATTGGCAACAAAAGCCAAAATAGACAAATGGGATCTAATTAAACTCCAGAGCTTCTGAACAGCAAAAGAAACAATAATCATTAGAATGAATCACCAACAAACAGAATGGGAAAAACGTTTTGCAATATACCCATCTGACAAAGGACTTATATCCAAAATTTACAATGAACTAAAACAGATTTACAAGAAAAAAAACAAACCCATTCAAAAGTGGGTGAAGGATATGAACAGACACTTTTCAAAAGAAGACATACATGAGGCCAAACAAACACATGAAAAAATGTTCATCATCACTGGTCATTAGATAAATGCAAATCAAAGCCCCACTGAAATACCATTTCATGCCAGTTAGAATGGCGATCACTAAAAAATCTGGAGACAACAGATGCTGGAGAGGATGTGGAGAAACAGGAACACTTTTACACTCTTGGTGGGAGTATAAATTAGTCCAACTATTGTGGAAGACAGTGTGGTGATTTCTCAAGAACCTAGAAATACAAATTCCATTTGACCCAGCCATCCCATTACTGGGTATATAGCCAAAGGATTATAAATGGTTCTACTATAGGGACACACGCACATGTATGTTCACTGAGGCAGTGTTTCCCAAATGCCCATTGATGACAGACTGGATAGGAAAACTGTGGCACATATACACCATGGAATACTATTCAGCCATAAAAAACGATGAGCTCATGTCCTTTGTAGGGACATGGATGAACCTGGAGACCATCATTTTCAGCAAATTGACACAAGAACAGAAAATCAAACACCACATGTTCTCATTCATAGGTGGGTGTTGAACAAAGAGAACACATGGACACAGGGAGAGGAACATCACACACTGAGGTCTGTGGCGGGGGACTAGCGAGGGGACTGTTGGGGGTAGGGAGTTGGGGAGGGATAACATGGGGAGAAATGCCAGATACAGGTGATGGGGATGGAGGCAGGAAACCACATTGCCATGTATGTACCTATGCAACAATCCTGCATGTTCTTTACATGTACCCCAGAACATAAAATGCAATAAAATATATATATATATTTAAGAAAAAAATAAAATTCTAATGAAATTTTTTGGAAAATAAGCACACATGAAGATATCTCACAAAAGTACGTATATGCATGAGAATAATCAAATTAATAACAGAGTCAGGTATGGTGGCCCATGCCTGTAAATCTAGCACTTCAGGAGGCTAAGGCCAGTGGATTACCTGAGGTCAGGAGCTCAAAACCAGGCTGGCCAACATGATGAAACCCCATCTCTACTAACCTTTGTAAAAATACAAAGATTAGCCAGGCATGGTGGTGCATGCCTGTAATCCCAGCTACTCTGGAGGCTGAGGCAGGAGAATTGCTGGAACCCAGGAGGTGGAGGTTGCAGTGAGCTGAGATTATACCACTGCACTCCAGTCTGGTTGACAGAGCAAGACTGTCTCAAAAAAACACAAAAACACAAAATAATAACAAAAAAAAATACTGGAGTCACTCACAGTGCTGAGTATTAAGCATATTATAAAGCTACTATGATAAAAACAACATGGTATAAACAAAAAAAGGCAGAAAGATGAAGCAGAAAACCAAGTTCAGAAACTAGCATAAAGTATATACAATATATCATGTAAAAAAGAAACCATTTAAATTTACAGGGAAAAAATTCATTACTTAATGAACGGTGTTGTGACAAACAAATCTAAACAAATTACGTTTAATGTTTTCAAACTGACTACAATTTAAGAGTAAAAAGTAAAATGATAAAAATACTGAATATAGATACAAAGACCTTAATGTATTGTTTATTTACATAATTAGAGGGAAGGAAAATCTTAGAAAACATGTTATCAAGAGAAGAAATAATAAACATACAAAATTGGACCACAGAAAAATAAATAACAGGATATAAAGAGACTGACAAATAAAATCCTATAAGCCGAGGAAGAATATTTGATACAGAAGGGCTAATACCCTTTGTTTAAAAAAAAATTCCCAAAGTCAATGGCAAAAACAAAAATCTGCCAGCAGAAAAATATGCAATTAACAGAACAAATATAAATGGCAATAACAAGAAATATACCTCCATTTCACTGGTATTTCAAAAATGGAAATATTAAACAATAATTTAATTGTTTAAATGTTAATATTAAACAATGAGACATCAAAGTTTTTCAAAATACTAAATACTTGAGTTGTCAAAAGTGCAAAAAAAAAAGAGGCAGCGGAATTTCTGGTCATAGTCATTAAATGGTAAAATCTTGGGAATTTGGCAATAAATATTGGAAAACTTCAAATGTGTATAGCATTTCTAGTAATTCCACCTCTGAAAAACTATGGTAAAACATTCAGGCCAGGAGTGGTGGCTCACGCCTGTAATCCCAGCATTTTGGGAGTCCAAGGGGGGATGGATCATGAGGTCAGGAGTTCAAGACCAGCCTGCCCTAGATTGTGAAACCCGATCTCTAGTAAAAATATCAAAAATTAGCCAGGCGTGGTAGCACACACCTGTGATCCCAGCTATTTGGGAGGCTAAGGCAGAGAACTGTATAAACCTGGGGTATTGGGCCACTGCACTCCAGCCTGGTCGACAGAGCAAGGCTCCAACTCAAAAAAAAAAAAAAAAAAAAAAAAAATTTGAATCATTTAATATTTAAACATCACAGTTATCTAATATTAAAATTCCAAAGTAATTGATATAATTAAAAATGGGATAAATTATAATACATCCACACAATGAGATACTGTGCATCATTAAACATAATATCACAGAATAATTGTTTTCACTACTTCAAATATTTACTGAGTACCTATCAGTGCCAGACACTCATTTTGGACCTGGGAATATAATAGTTTATAAGCAAAACAAGGTCTTTGCCTTCAAGAAGTTTATAAATGCAAATAAATGTTAAGAAAATTTCAGATAGTGATTTAGGCAATAAACAAAAATTACAAGGGTAAAATATGTGTTTAATTAACAGACAGGGTACTCATGTTAAGAATAAGGAAAAAAATGTGATTGAAAAAGAATAAACAAAGGCTTTCAATGCCCGGGATATCACCTGTTTTAACAGAAGTGTCCACTTTTTGTTATATTATTTATGCCTCGATATCTGAAATATTTCATATTATGCTCAGTGGAAACAACTGCTTAGATTATTTGCTCTTTCTCACCTTGGTTTCCACATTTGTAAATCAGGGATATTACAGCATCTACCTACTACAATTGTTTTGAGGTATATCAAGTGATCACCAAAAAACTTTTTCTAGAGTTATATTAAGGGTACCTAGTATTTGTGTAAGGTCACAAACTTTTGACTATGAATAATAAAGCACATACTTCTGTCAAAAAGAGAAAGTGGAAGGTGGCAAGGCCAAGGTCATCCTAATATATATACACACACATATATTTTATTTATATATATGAATAAAAATAAATACTGAGACTTTTTATCCATGCGCAATAATTTATTTTAGGCTGCTGGTTTTGGTCTTTAGTGTGAACTATCATAGAGTAGTGTATTGTTCTAGCCTGTCTAGCAATGAGGCCAAAAATAGTGTATTGATTTAATCCCCCGAACATGCCAGGTAGCTTAGCTCTGTTCTATTACAATCTGTACCTGTCACTGTATCTACATCGTTAAGATCTAACACTGACTTAAAACCAAAATAAAAAAATTTTAAAAAGTACAACATAATAATCACATCATTATAAAAATACCACGATCTAAATCATTACAATCTGAGTGATAGAGGTTTCCTTACCTCGGTCCATTGCTGTCTTTTCTCCTGGTTGAACAGTTGCCTTGTTCAGCTTTGGCTCGCTGATCCGTGAAGTCATTCGCAGTCCTATCTACAATTTCTCCAGCATCAAGTGCTCTGTGTAGTCGATAGTTGACCATCTTCAGAACAACGAAAACAGCAGCTATCACAGGACAATAAACTGCTACTATAATCATGGAAGAAGGAAGGGCCTTTAAGAGAAAGAAAATAAGGAAATACATTTTAAAATATTTTCTATTGTATTCAATTAGAGCAATCTGTATCTAAAATATTAAACACATTTACACATAAAGCAACAACTATGTTACTAGCACTAAGCTACAAAAGTACTTACATAACTGGTCAGCCCAATGCAAAAGACACTAGCTACATGTTGCTACTGAGTACTAGAAATATGGCTAGACTGCACTGAAATATAAGGTGAGAATAAACTAACACTGCATTTCAAAGATTCAGTATCTTAAAAAAGAATGTAAAATATCTCAATTTTTATGTTGATTACATGTTGAAATAACAGATTATGTTGGGTCAAGTAAAACATTATTAAAATTAATTTCACATGCTTTTTACTTAATGTGGCTACTAGGTTAAATGAAAGTTGCCAGGTTTAAAAAAAAAAGTGGCTACTAGAAAGTGTTAAATTATATATATGGCTTATCTGCATTACATTTCCACTGGAAAGCATGAGTATACAGTCCATACCAAAAGCCTTATCATACAGCTGGAGAACAAATGTATCACACTACAGTATATGTGACAAAAATCAATGTTGTGATCCAAATATAATCCCTATTTATGGGCTCTGTGTAACCAATTTTTAGGACAAATTCTTTGTATACCAGAAAATTGGAAGTTAAAACTGTCTTGAGAATGACCTTAGAACTGTGACCATAAAACCAAGTAAGATATAAAAGACATGTGAAATTTAAGTGGGTTTTATTTTAAAATAAACATTTAAAATACTTAAAAATTGTAGCCTGCCAAACAAAAAGAATAAAAGAACACAGAACAGAATCAAGTAACAGATTAAATGAAATAAGTCAGCCAAACATCCTGGGTGTGGGGCTGAAGGCCCATCATACAGGAGGATTCAGTGGTGGAAAACTTGAGTCCATGGGTGACAGGCTTGGAGACCAGCTCACTGGGAAGGCAAGGCCTAGAATCACTGTTAGCAGAGGTAATACAACTAGCCTCAACTTACCCCACTTTCATGAGAAAAATCACCCTGACATCTATATCTCTAGATCCCACATGTTTTCATAAGATTCAATTTCAGTTATCTGAGAACATGACCCCAAATTGGCTTTAAAAAAGTAACCTCTAGCTGGGCGTGGTAGCAGACACCTGTAATCCCAGCTACTCGAGAGAGTGAGGCAGAACAATCACTTGAACCTGAGAATCGCGTGAACCTGGGAAGTGAAGGTTCTAGTGAGCCCAGATTGTGCCACTCTACTCCAGCCTAGGTGACACAATGAGACTCTGTCTCAAAAAAAAAAAAAAAAAAAAAAAAAAAAAAAAAAAAAGGAGTAACCTCAAATCACTTGAGATAAAAATAAAAAGGTCTTGTTGAGCCAGGTAGGTTTAGAATACAGATATGAGCTAAATTTCGTTAAAAAAAAAAAAAAAAAAAAAAAGTTCTTGAGAGGAAAAGACGGTGGGTTGTAATTGAGAGGGGAAAACATAAAATCCACTAATTAATACTTTTGTGTTGAGTGTGGGCATAATAGGTATATATTGAAAATTTGGTATTTTCAAATACTTGGATTAAGAAGTCCTGCATATTAATTTATCTAAAAAATTAAACTTGCGATTCCAATTTAAAATGTTACTGAATAACTGGTTTGGGCTTATAATTTTAAGTTGAGAAACATATTTAGAAGTTTACAAAATCCCTAATTATCATATTTGGAAGAGTTGAGTACTTGTACAATATTGCGTAATATATATTTGGTCTGCATCCCAGTTGTCTGGCATAATACTCTTAAAATCCCTGGAATCTCCAAACTGGTAATTTTTGTTCAATATTAGGTTGACTGGTGCCTGCAGGCTCCTGGATAGCCTGAGGAGCAGGACTGGTTTCCAGGGGAGTCAACCCTCAACCTCCAAGAAGGGAAGAGGGGCTGTAGGATGAGTTGATCACTGTATTTGTCCTTTCTCACGCTGCTATGAAGAAATACCCAAGACTGGGTAATTTATAAAGAAAAGAGGTTTAATTGACTCACAGTTCCCCATGGCTGGGGAGGCCTAAGGAAACTTACAATCATGGCAGAAGGTACCTCTTTCACAGGGCAGCAAGGAAGAGAAATGAAAACCAACTGAAGAGGGAACCCCCTTATAAAACCATCAGAGCTCATGAGAACTCACTGATTATCATGAGAACTGAATGGGAGAAATGCCCCATGATTCAATTATCTCCACCTGGTCCTACCCTAGACACATGGGGATTATCACAATTCAAGTTGAGACTTGGGTGGGGACACAGACCTAAACCACTTCATTCCACTCTGGCCCCTACCAAATTTATGTGCTCACATTTCAAAACAAAATCACGCCCTTCAAACAGTCTCCCAAAGTCTTAACCCATTCCAGCGTTAACTCAAAAGTCTAAGTCCAAAGTCTCATCTGAGACCAACAAGTCCCTTCCACCTATGACCCTGTAAAATCAAAAGCAAGTTAGTTACGTCCTAGCTACAATGAGGGTACAGGCATTGGGTAAATACATCCATTCCAAATGGGAGAAATTGGCCAAAACGAAGAGGCTACAGGTCCCATACAAGTCCAAAATCCAGCAGGACAGTCAAATTTTAAAGCTCTGAAATGATCTCTTTGACTCTATGTCTCACATCCAGGTCACTGATGCAAAGAGGTGAGCTCCCACGGCCTTGGGTAACTCCACCCCGTGGCTTTGCAGGGTACTGCTCCCCTCCTGGCTGGTTCATGAATTGGCATTGAGTGTCTGTGGCTTTTCCAGGCACATGGTGCAAGCTATCAGAGCTACCATTCTGGGGTCTGGAAGACAGTGGCCCTCTTCTCACAGCTCCATTAGGCAGTGCCCAATTGGGACTCTGTAGGGGGAGGAGTGTCCAACCCCACATTTCCCTTACACAGTGCCCTAGCACAGGTTTTCCATAAGGGCTCCACCACTGCAGCAGACTTCTGCCTGGACATCCAGCCATTCCCATACATTCTCTGAAATCTAGGCAAAGGTTCCCAAACCTCAATTCTTGACTTCTGTACATCCACAGGCCCAACACCACATGTAAGTCACCAAGGCTTGATGCCTGCATCCTCTGAAGCAACAGCCTAAGATGTACATTGGCCCCTTTTAACCACAGCTAGGACACAGGGTACTAAGTCTAGAGACTGCACAAAGTAGCAAGGCGCTGGGCCCCACCCAAGAAACCACTTTTTCCTCCGAGGCCTCTGGGCTTGTGATGAAGACCTCAGATATGCCCTGGATACCTCCAATATGCCCTGGAGACATTTTCTCCATTGTCTTGGTGATTTGCCTCCTTGTTACTTAGGCAAATTTCTGCAGCCTTCTTTAATTCTTCCCCAGAAAATGGGGTTTTGTTTTCTATTGCATCATCAAGCTGTAAATTTTCCAAACTTTTATACAATGGAACCTCTTGAACAGTCTGCTGCTTAGAAATTTCTTCCACCAGATACTCTATATCATCTCTCTCAAATTCAAAGTTCCACAGATCACTAGGGCAGGGGCAAAATGCCGCCAGTCTCTTTGCTGATAAAGCATAGCAAAAGTCACCTTTATTCCAGTCCCTAACAAATCCCTCATGTCCGTCTAAGACCACCTCAGTCTAGCCTTTATTGTCCATATTACTACCAAGCAGTTTGGTCAAAGCCATTCAAGAAGTCTCTAGGAAGTTCCAAACTTTCCCATATCTTCCTGTCTTCCTCTGAGCCCTCCAAACTGTTCCAACCTCTGCCTGTTACCTTGTTCCAAAGTCACATCCACATTTTAGGGTATCTTTACAGCAGCATCCCACTACCCGGTACCAATTTGCTGTATTAGTCTGTTCTTATGCTGCTATGAAAAATACCTGAGATTGGGTAATTTATAAAGAAAAAAGGTTTAATTGGCTCACAGTTCTGCATAGCGGGGAGGCCTCAGGAAACTTACAATCATGGTGAAAGGCACCTCTTCACAGGGCAGCAGGACAGAGAAATGAGTACCCAGTGAAGGGGGAAAGCCCCTTATAAAACCATCAAATCTGGTGAGAACTCTCTCACTATCTCAAGAACAGCAACAGGGAAACCACTCCCATGATTCAATTATCTTCACCTGGTCCTGCAGTTGACATGTGGGGATTATTACAATTCAAGGTGAGATTTGGGTGGGGACACAAAATCAAATCATATCAATGACCAATAGTCAAGAAATTATGTAATCAAACATGACTACATAATGAAGCTTCTATAAAAAGCCAAAAGGCCTGGGTTCAGGAGCTTCATGATACCTAACACATGGAGGTTTCTGGAGTGTGGCATGCCCATGAAGCTCCAGTGCCCTTCCCACATGCCTTGCCTCATGCAATTTTGCATTTGTATCCTTTGTATTAATAATATCTCCAGGTAGTGTCAGAATTAATTGAAGGATACCCAGCTGGTGTCTGCTGAAGTACCTGCTGCAGAACTGGTTGACTGCTGAATGTTTAAGGACACCCCCACACATCTGCTGTCAGAAGTGTTCCGTGCTGTGATAGTACAGTAGAACTCTGTTTTTTCTGTAGCCTCTCAACTTGCAAACATTTGACAGATAATTTAAATCCTTAAAAATGAATACTAAATTTACAAATGAAATTTGATAGGGTGTTAAGCTACTAAAAAAACCACCCTTTTAAATTATTGTTAAATTATGTTAGATATGTAAAGAGTTGAGTTTTAAATTCTTAGTTGTTTAATTTATAGCTTTAAAAAATCTAATATTCATTATGAAAAACAAAAGTGCTCTGAATAACTTTTTCTGAACAAAATGGCCAGTCTCAAACACACAACACAAATTGTTTTGATACCTATAAACACATACATATCTCAGAGGATTTACAAAAATTCTGTGTGACACCGGCTTCCATCTGAAATATGTGCCATAAAAACCAGAATTCTTCAAAATTATTTACTTCAATACTCTCATTTCCAGACAGAAATTTGAATGACTTAGCCAAGATCACCC